TGATATGATTCTAAATGTATATAGAGGAAATTATTTAAGACAGTTGTATTATAAAAGGGGAAACTAAATTACATAAAAGGAAGTAAGGTGTCTATACTTAAAACCTTCACTTGAACTGGTAAAACAATGATACCAGTAGACTGTGGTAAATTTTGTATATATAATGCAATGCCTAGAGCAACCACCAAAAGGTTATACAAAGAGATACACTGAAAAACACCATAGGTAAATCAAACTGGAATTCTTTGCAGGCAGATTCTTTACCATCTGAGCCACTCAGGAAGCCCCAGCTGAAATCTCCATAAAAACCCAAAAGGATGAAGAGCTTCTGGGGGTTTGAAGAGCTTCTGGGTTGAGATGTCCACGTGTTGGGAGTGGCACCCCCAGTTCCACACGGATAAACGCTCCTACACACAGGACCTTGTCCTATGTACCTCTTCATCTGACTATTCATCTGTATCCTTTATAATACCCTTTACTATACATTGGTAAACATAGGTAAATATTTACCTGAGCTTTGTCAGTCATTCTAGCAACCTTTCAAACCCAAGGAGGGGATCATGGGAACCCCAATTTAATGCTGGCCAGTCAGAAATACAGATAACAACCTGGACCTGTGCCTGATGTTGTTATGAGCATGGACTCATGTGTCTGAGGTCACAGAAAGCCAAATTCTGACAGTGGGTGTTTGCAGCAAAGTAAGGGTATTATGGCCACACACCCAGCAAGGAAGCAGGAGATAAGTCTCAAGTCCTCTCCATTTGGTCTCTGAGTAAGGGGTGTTTTGAAGGGAAGAACAGAGAGGCTGGGATTAATCATCATCAGGTGACACTTCTGTGACTATAGTTTTGGGATTCAGGAGGTCTCTAGTTTAGGATTCTTTGGCCAGGTTGTCCATGGCTTGAGGCCTGTTAACTCACTTTGACCTGGAGAAACAGCATGACTTAGACGTTAATGATATATCCACAGTAGCAACCTTAGGACATTAACAATGTTATCAACAACAGCAATTTTAGTCCTCTGACTCTGGTTGGTGAGGGTCCAGTTGGCATAGGACTGAGGTCAGAGGGGACAAGAAAGGGAATTAAGTTTTGGATAGAGAGATCAATCATCGACTTGGTAAGGGAACTGGATTTTAGTGGGACTCAGTTTCAGGGTCTGAAGAGGGGCAGCCTTGAAGGACTGAGCCCATAACATGTGGGGTCCAATGCCACCCCCAGCAGAGAGCGTCAGAATTAAGTTAGAGCTGTAGGACACCCGGTTGGTGCCTGCTGACATGGAGAAAGGTATGGTGTGGAGAAACCCCTATACATCCAGTTTCAGAAATACTGAGAGTGGAGGAGAAAAATAGAGTTTTCCTTGAAGTTTCACATTGCTAGAAATCAAGATGTACTTAAAACTGCAGTTATTAAGACAGTGTTCCTGGTGGCTCAGACAGTAAAGAATCCACCTGCCATGCGGGAGACCTGGGTTTGATCCCTGGGTTGGGAAGATCCGCTGGAGGAGGGCATGGCAACCCACTCCAGTGTTCTTGCCTGGAGAATCCCCGTGGACAGAGGAGTCTGGCAGGCCACAGTCCATGGGGTTGCAAAGAGTCAGACACGACTGAGCAACTAAACACACAGTATTGGTGGAATGGTAGATTCATAAAGCATTCTAAAGGAAGAATCCAGATATAGACCCACACATATTTGGACAAGTGAATTTTGACAAAGATGATACCACAGAGAAGCAAGTCAAGGACAGTGTTTTTTAAACCAGTGCTGATCAGGGACTTCCCCTGGAGGTCCAGTGGTTAGAGCGCCATGCTTCCTTGCTGGTCAGGGAACTAAGATCCTGCACGCCACAGTGTGGTCAAATAATGGGGGTGGGGGGGTGGAAATGGTGCTGGTCAAAGAGGTATTTGTAGGGGAAACAATATGGCTCTTGACCTCTAACTTACACCATGCACAAAAATCAATTCCAGATTGAGCATAGATCTAAATGTGAAAGGTACAATAGGAAACTTTCCAAAAACAATATGGAAAAAAAATACCTTCATAACTTTGGAGAGGCAAAGATCTCTTAAACAGGATGAAAACACCATTCATCACTAAGGACAAAATTAGCCAATCTGGCTAAATTAAAGTTAGGAACTTCTCTCCATCAAAAGACTGCATTTGGAGACAGAAGAGTAGGCCATGAGGGGAGAATATACTTTTCTTTTATGTAAGAAAGGATTTCTCTGACCATCAACTTCCTCATCTTTAGAGTTAAATGAGATAGTATGCTTACAAAGATTAGCTCAATGCCTGTCACATAAGAGGTATTCCATAAAATTTTTTATTGCTTCTCTTATAACTGAGGCAGGATGATTGCACTTCAAACCATTTCCAGGCAGACAAGAATCTCCCTCCTCTTTTTGACGCTCAATAAAGAGGTGGCTCAGCAGTAAAGAATCTACCTGCAATGCAGGAGACACAGGCTCGATCCCTGGATCAGAAAGATCCCCTGGAGAAGGAAATGGCAACCCACTCCAGTATTCTTGCCTGGGAAATCCCATGGACAGATGATCCTGGTGGGTTACAATCCATGGGGTCGCAAAGAGTCGGGGCATGACCGAGTGACTGGACACAAACAGCAGTCAGAAGGGTTTCCCCTGAATTCTCTCATAAATCTTACAGAACAGTGTCGAGGACATCTATAAGGTACCCCTTCAGTCCCAAAGCTGCAATCTGCACGGAGACCTGGGATCCAGTTTTAAACAGCACAGTGGGAGGGAGAAGAAGTGCAACAGGAGGATGAGTGGGTTTCATTCTTGACTGAGTCAGGCCACATTGTGGGAAATCCCCCAGGTGAGCTGAAAGCAGCGTGGAGGGGCTGGCAGGAGGGAAGAAGCCCTCTCTTCTTTCAAATACAGTCTCATTTATCCTTGTAGCCACCAGGATTCCCAGAAGCATGCAAGAGGGGGCTTTCAGAATGGTTTCAAAGGAGTCACCTCATTCTTCTAGAGACAAGCCCAGGAGAAGCCAGAGCCTAAAAGCCCTAGAGGCAAGGTCAAGTTCAGAGGCCACCCCAAAATGGGTCACTGCAATGGCTTGAGTCACCACTCCCCAGAGGGGATGGGCAGAACTTTTAAAGGACTTGTGTTTGCCTCTAGCTATCCCCCTTCCTGCTCTTCTCCCCAGCAGAAGACACAGAGTCTAGAAGCCTCGGGCCACTGATAAGAAGCCAGGGAGGCTGAGAAGAAAGACCCTCCAACAGGCCCACACCCATCCATTTTGAGGGCCAGCAGCCTCACTCCTTGGATAGCACCAAGTGCCGTCTGCAGACTCTTCCATTTACAGAGCCTGTTTACACCCCTCGCGGCTTCTGAACTCACCTCAGTCCTGTGGACAAATGATTATCCTGAGCCCCTTTTTCAGCTGAGTCTCAAAGAAAAAAAGTAAACTGCTCGCAGTAGTTCTCAGGCTCAGGACCCATCCCATCCCCCTCCATCAAGATACCAGTAATAGATCAATTAAAAATATATATATATACCAATAAGAGTAGTGATTAGTACTATTACCATTTGTGAGCATCTCAGTACCCTTGCCTGGAGAATCCCATGGGAGGAGCCTGGTGGGCTACAGTCCACGGGGTCGCAAAGAGTCGGACACAACTGAGTGACTTTCCTTCCTTCCTTCCTTCCTTCCTTCCTTCCTTCCTTCCTTCCTTGCTTGTGCGCCAGGCATCTGATGAGGTGTTTCACTTCTATCAGCTCATTTGTCCTTCAGAATGACCTGAGAATTAGGTGAGGACACCCCATTTTACAGGCTCCGAGAGGGTAATAAAGTAGGAGATCATATCTGGTGCCAGGAACTACTCTAAACACTTCCATGTGCATTACATTCAGTTCAGTTCTGTCACTCAGTTGTGTCCAAATCTGCGACCCCATGGACTGCAGCACTCCAGGCTTCCCTGTCCATCACCAACTCCCGGAGCTTACTCAAACTCATGTCCATTGAGTCGGTGATACCATTCAACCATCTCATTCTCTGTCATCCCCTTCTCCTCCTGCCTTCAATCTTTCCCAGCATCAGGGTCTTTTAGTACTCTGCATATAAGTTAAATAAGCAGGGTGACAATATACAGCCTTGATGTACCCCTTTCCCAATTTGGGACCAGTCTGTTGTTTCATGTCCAGTTCTAACTGTTGCTTCTTGACCTTCACACAGATTTCTCAGGAGGCAGGTCAGGTGGTCTGGTATTCCTATCTCTTTAACAATTTTCCAGTTTGTTGCGATCCACACAGTCAAAGGCTTTACATTAGGCAATCTCAAAAATCCCATGAGAATGAGCATGAGGAGTCTCCCATTTCAGAGACATGAGAACTGAGGCTCAGAAACATCAGGTAAATTATCTGAGGCCACACAGCTAGGAAGCAGAGCTGGAATTGGAACCAAGTATTCTTGCCACTGTCCCACACCTTGGGCAACACACCTAGGGTGGGTCAGAATCCCATCAAGACCCCTGCCACTGACAGCCCAGGGCCCTTCCACCCAGCTCTCCTGCCTGGAGTAGGGCCGCAGGAAGACTTTGGATCCTGTTGGCGGCCACCTCCTCTCCATCTAAGAGACAGCTAGCTCTCTGAGAATCAACCCCTAGAAATAGGGCACGGGGGGACAGACTCCACAGTGGCAGACAGCCCGGCCATTGCCGACAGAGCTGGCACCCAGCCCAACCAAACCTTTTTGCCAGTTTTTCTCTCTCTGCCTGCTGCACACTGGCTGCAACCAGCCCCTGATTCTCATTTTCTCCCTTGGGCCCCATTGAAAGTGCTAGATGGGAGAGAGAGAAGGAACCTGGAGGGCAGGCAAGCAGGGGGCGCTCGGTGAGCCCTTCTGCCCCTCCAGGAAGGGTAAGAGGAGCTGGCTGGGGGTGAGGAGAGGGGTGCTGGGGAGTGGTTCTGGAGTTGTAGGGCAGGGGTAACCTAGCAACCACTGGCTGATGCAGTCACAAAGCGACAGGCTTACCCACAGAACTGACAAGGCTTCCCGCTGTCATGACCTTTGGCTCTTTCCTGCCCGGGCAGCAAGGGCTCCTCACCTGCATAGGATAGCGGCCACTTTCCTTGGTGAGTTCAGGGGTCAGCCTGGGGTGGGGCACAGAAGGGGAAAGAGAAGTTCTGTTTCTGAATTGGTATCAGCCTTCAGGGCCCTTGTGCCTGGCCAACTGGGGACCTGGGGGAGAGGGAAGGAAGGTCAAGGACAGATGCAATAGGGCCCGGCCTGGCCCGCTCTGGCAAAGGCAGGCCGGGCCCACTAGAGGCCCTGTTGACCTCTTCCCAGCAGCTGTGTGATATAATCCATAGTAGCCTATAAAATCAATGTAATAGTTTGAGTTTGATAACGACTAAATGAAGACAAAAAGTAGGATGAAACTATCAGTATGTGTCATATACACCAAAGACAAGAACTGCTTCAGTTTCACATACACACATAAGTACATGCACACGTGTGTGTGTGTGTGTGTGTGTGTGTGTGTGTGTGTGAATTGGGTTATGATATAAAAATGAGTTTCTTACCATGGTCACAGTCAGAAGTATTTTTAAAAGTCTCTATTGTGTTGATTCCTTTTCCTGTAGGCAGGTGGGTATGGGGCTTGTAAATGCCCTGTTCTCAGCCCTGCAGCATCAAAGTGCTCTAGAGCAAGGGTCCCCCATCTCTGGGATCTAATCCCTGATGATGTGAGGTGGAGCTGACATAATAAAAGAAATAAAGTGCGCAATAAATGTAATGTGCTTGACTCATCCTGAAACCATTCCCCCTGACTCCCCGATCTGTGGAAAAATTGTGTTCCACGAAACCAGTCCCTGGTAACAAAAAGGCTGGGAACCACTGCTCCAGAGCCTAGCCTCTTCATCAAGGATGTCCAAACTACCTTCAAAGGATGCCCTACCAGCTGGTTTTGTCTTTAGGGAAAGATTAGGAGATTGAATCAGGATGCCTGCCTCCTTGATCTCAAAGTCTCTCCCCTTCCCCAATCTCAGGCAGTGCTGTCTGCTCCCCTCCACCCTAACCTGATGGAAGCCTGGCCCTGAGGGAATCTCTGCAGATTCTATGACTCAGAGGGTTAATTCTCAGAATGTACTGATTGCTCAACCCATCCTCGGCACCTGCAACCCCAGCACTCCACTTACAGATTCATAATCACCTTGATGTGTCAATTTGGCATTGACACTTATCTTTCATTCATGTCATCTAGCTTATTTAGTAATATGATGAATGCTAATAAAAGCACCTCTCAAAGCAAGAACTAGAATACCACCACCAAGACATCCTATGTGCTCCTCTCCTCCCCCTGCTCTTTATCTGCCCTCAGACATAGCCACTACATGAATTTTGCAGAGTTTCATTGCTTTTGTCTTATTACCTTTATGATAATTCTCCTTGTTTTTGAATTTTATTTTTAAACAGGATCTCGGGCTATATGGTCTTCTGCAATTTGCTTTCCCTGACTATTCATTGTATTTGTAAGATTCATCTATGTTGTTGCATGTAGCTGCGGTTCATTCATTTTCACTGCAATACAGTGTTCAATTGTCTGAATGGACCATGGCATATTTATCCACTCTTCTGCATTGGACATGTAAACTGTCACCAGGTTTTTGCTAATTTGAACAATGTTGGTTTGAATATTCTTACACATCTGCAAGAGTTCCTCTGGGGTATATTTCTGGAACAGTAATTGTTGGGTTATGCTGGGATATGGCATGCATTCAATTTTAGGGCTTCCCAGGTGACACTAGTGGTAAAGAACCTGTCTCTCAATGCAGGAGACATGAGATTTGGGTTCAGTCCCTGGGTTGGGCAGATCCCCTGGAAGAGGGCATGGCAACCCACTCCACTATTCTTACCTGGAGAATCCCACGGACAGAAGAGCCTGGTAGCCTACGGTCCATGGGTCGCAAAGAGTCAGACACGAATGAAGTGACTTAGCAAGCACACACATGCAGTTGCTGGGTTATACTGGGACGTGGCATGCAAATGTTCAATTTTATAAGATATTGCCAATTTTCCCCCTAAAGTGTCTGTTCCTGTTATGCATCTTCAACACTCGTATTAACAGCACCAGTCTTTACACTGTTAGAGGCTTCCCAATGGCTACAGAAGTGAGGGCCCAATTGGCAGAGCATTCACTGCCCAGGTAAGGTCCCCAATGCCTTCCCTGCTGACGGAGGAGGTGGAGGGAGCTGGGGAGGGTAGAATACAAAAGAACTCTACAGACCGAGGGTCCAAGTGGAGGTCGCCTTCCCTCTGCTATCAGTCAGGCGCCCAGTGGGTTCTCAGGCCTGAGTTAACACATCCCAGGCAGGGCCCCTCCTGGGTCGGGAGTGGGTGTGGTAGCTCGGGGCAGGAGCATAAACATTCCAGGGGTTTCAGGGGGTGACTTCCACTGTTAGTTGGGGGCAGGGGAGATCAACTAACAGTGACATTCAGGGAAGGTTTACTTTATTTCTTTAAGTCCCAGATCCCCTAGAAGAAAATTGAGGATGGAACAGGAAACTCAGGGGCCTGGTCAGCGAAATTCTCAGAGGGCCCCGAGGCAAAATGCCTTGCTTAGCACATCCAGAGTCCACCTACACACCTCCAGAGAGCCTCCCTTCAGCCAGGGCCGCCAGAAGGGGAAGCAGACAGCGAGCAGGCAGGTGGTCCCAACCAGGTCCCTGGCGGAGAGCAGCCCACCCCTGGATCCTTGCTGGACTGACTCCACCTATTCCTCTGGGGGGGGGGGGGAGGCACAGCATCCTCAGGAGAGGGAAGGGGTGCAGGTGGAGGACGGAGAACCTGAGACGCTTGTCTCCAGTGAAGCAAAGCGAAGCGAAGCAAGAGCTTGAAGCTTCTCCACAGCGACGCAGCCCAGATAGCCAGCCCATTAGTTCTGCAGCTCCCAGGGGGGCCCCCACAGGAAGAGGACTGGCTGGCCCAGTCTGGCTTTGGTATCAGCTCCTGGATGCTGAGTCTGGGCCAAAACTGCCCGTGAGGGCAAGGGGGGGTCGGGTGACAGCCTATAGCTGGCTTCTCCTGGGCCGCCAACTGTTTGGCTTGGGAAGAGGCCCATGCTAGGGTCAGCCCCCTGGCCCTGGAGATGTACATAATGTACCTTTACTCCAATGCAGGTATCTGGATGAGGAGGTGGGTCTATGGCTTCTCCTTCTGGCTTCGGAAATGGTCTCTGAGAGAAAACTGGGGTGCTGGGAGATTCCATCTGAGTTCTCTGAGATGGATCCTGGCTCTCTACTCAGGCATCATAGGAAGATGGGAAGTTCCTCAGGGCTGAATGGCATGGCTGCGAAAGGACCCTGGCGGAGGCCTGGCTCTAGCGCCATGGGGGTGGTGGTGGAATCTGTTAAGCAGTTTTCAGAATATCTCAGGAATGGACTCCCATAAGCTCGGGTGGGAACCGCTGCCTCGGGCTCCATTTGCTTCTCCCTGGTCCTCTCCTTTAGCCCAAAGGCTGAGCCGAAACTGGAAAAGAAGTCGGGGTGCCAGCCAAGGAGCCACGGGGACAGCGGGCCACAGAAAGAACTGACGATCCCAGGGACCGTGGATTTCAAGCTGATCCGAGAGGCAGTGAGGACGTCCAAGCCCCAAACCCCCAGTGCCTACCGCTTCGGTCGCCTCAGCCACCACTCCTTCTTCTCCAGGCACCATCCCCAGCCCCAGCACGTGACCCACATCCAAGGTAGGGCTGGGGTAGGCCAGGGCCTGATGGTGGGGGTCGGGGGGCCGCTAGAAAGGGAGGATCCAGCCACTCTTGGCCAAGCCAAGACCTACCTGGGGCAGGGTGAGGATTCCAAGGGCAGACTGCAGAGCCCTGCAGGATTTACATCACTGCCGGTTCCCCCACCTTACAAATCAGAGAAAGGGATGAATATATTCTGCTCCAGAGCTGTGCTCTCTTCTCTGACTCAGGCCATTTCATCCACTCAGCTATTTGTTCATCAAAGATCTAATGAGTGTGAACTATGAGTCGGGCACGTTTTAGGTCCTGGCATTATGACCAAGCAAGACAGAGTGTCCCTGGTCTCACAGAGCTGAACTTTAGTGGGGAAGAGCAGGAAACAGATAAGGTGTCAGAAGATCGGAAGTGCCAAGGCCATATACAGAGCCAAGGCCTGACCAACAGCATGATACTCGAGCAAAGACTAAAGGAAGACAGGGCATAACCCATGTGGATCTCAAGGGGAAGATGTCCCAGGCAGACAGAAGAGCCGCGACAATGGCCCCGAGGCAAGAAAGAGCCTCCTGTTGGAGAATAGTGAGGACGTGGGTGTGGCTGAAGCAGAATAAGGAGGAGGAGAAGTGAGACACATTAGAGGCAGCGGGGCCCACGTTGGGTGGGTCTTGGAGCTCACCATGGTCATCCTTAAGCCATCTCACTGAGTCAGATGGCAACCATCAGAGGGTTGAGAGCAAAGAAGTAAGAGAAGGGCTCTGCTGGCTTCTGAATGGACAGTGGCTTAGACCAGAGAGATAGCAGTGGAGGAGTTAGTGACCCTGCTCTAGAGAGATACAGAAGGCGAGGCCAACAGACTTGGCTGATGGATTAAAAATGGAGTATGAGACGGAGAGAAGAGTCAAGCTGACTCCCAGGTGTTTGGTCTGAGAAACTGGAAAATTGAGTTTGTGCTGACTAAGATAGAGGAGCCTATAGACAGGGCCAGTGGAGGATGGGAAGGTTCAGGGTTTGCTCTGAGATGCTGGGAAATGCAGCATGTGAGATACCTCTTAGAAGTCCAAGGGAAGGCGGGGTGGGGAAGCCCGAGGGGAGGTGCCAAGTAGGCAGTAGCGTCAGTTTCAGGCAGAGATGCAAATGTGAGAGCTACTCAAATGGGAGTGGTGTTTGAAGAAGTGTGCTGGATGGGGGTCATCACAGGACCCTGGAGAGGCCAGGGAGGAGAACCTGGCATGAATCTGGGGACCCCAAGGTTAAGGGGTTGGGGAGATGAAGAGGAAGCAGCAGAGCAGTGACTGGTGAGCTAGGAGGACCTAGGAGAGAGAGGGGTCCTGGCACCAAAGGAAAGCGTTCCAGGAGGAGAGAGTGAGACACTGCGGTTAAGTCCTAACCATGCTGCTCTCCAAAGCTTAACCATCTAACGATGCCATTGCATACATGCTAAGTCACTTCAGTCACTTTGCGACCCCATGGACTGTAGCCGACCAGGCGCCTCTGTCCAAGGGATTCTCCAGGCAATACTGGAGTGCCATGCCCTCCTCCAGGGGATCTTCCTGACCTCAGGGATCAAACCCATGTCCCTTTCATCTCCTGCATCGGCAGGCAGATTCTTTACTACTAGTGCCACCTGGGAAGCCAATGATGCTATGGTCCCACACAGACCTTAGCCTGGAGGTTCCTCACATGTAAACTCTCTCACCACCCCCAGGCTGCCATGCACTCAGACCTGCAAGGCTGACCGATGGCATGAAGTTTTATCCAGAGGGTCTCGGCCCCTGTGGCTTGAGCCCAGGCCCTTCTCGCCACAGACTGTGGCTTAATGCCCTGCTCCCACTCCTCTTCTTGAAGCTCCTGCCTCTGTGTGCTCCACACAGTCTGTGCGCTCATACCTGCACGTCGTTACCCTGTCACAGAAAACCAGCGGGACCCCCAGATGAGGGTCCCAGGTATCCCGGGTTCTCATCTCCTCTCGGCCAGTCTCACTATGTGACCCTGAGCCCATCCTTTCGCTGCCATGCTAAGTGTCTCCAGGGGTAAGGTCAGAGCTGTTGAGAGGCCCTCCCAGCCCTAGCCACCTCTGGGGTTGTGTTTACTGGAAGAAGTGGGGCTGAGTGCTTCCCTGCCCACCAGCCTCCTCCCATTTTCCTGGAGTTCTTGGGGTCCAACCAGGTCCCCTTTCCCACTGCCTCCAACCCTTAACAGATCTCACCGGGAAGCCTGTCTGTGTCGTCAGGGACAAGCTCGCTTTGGCCACCTCCCCTCAAGCCACACTCTTACCCGGCTACCTGATCAGGATGCCCACCATCTCAGTGCCTGTTGGAGACCCGCAGTCCAATCGGGACCCCCGACTTTATTCTGGTGGGTACTGGGACCCTCTACCTTGGGGCTATACCTGTGCCCAAGGGCTGCCTGGCTTGGGCAGGTGCCTGAGAAGGAAAAGGCCATGGCTCTTGGGTGGGGGTCCTCAGCACTCGGGAATGCAACCCTGCTTGGATCTGAAGTATCTGAGGAGTCAGAACAAGCAGAGGACAAACAGATCTGGGCAACAGACATGTGACTTCCAGCTCTAGCCAGGAACAGTATTGGAAATACTGAATTTTGTAACCTGTGTGCTCAGGCACCGGCCAGTCAGGAGAGTTAGCCACAGAGAGTGCTGGGGCAGCATTTCAGAGGCCTCCACTTAGGCCAAGCCTCTCTCTTTCCCTGAAGAGCAGGGAGGACCCTGGAGAAGGGGCAGAGGGGCCCAGAAGGCTTCCTGCAGTGCCCTTTACCAACCTGGCCAGGAGCCACTCAGTGTTGTAGCAACTGGCACAGTCTATTGACCAAATCTCTGCCCTGGCTTCATTTTCCTAAAGGAGGCAAAGCTAGTCTAAATCACAAATATCTCGGTACACGTAGCCAAACATTCTCCAGCATTTCCCGGTTAAGACACAAGCTGGGACACAAATTTCAGCAGCAAGCACACCCACCCATCCACCAATAGTGTGATTCCAGCTCCTTCCCTCAAGGGCACCAAGTGCCCTGTGAAAATGCCCTTCCCTTTAAGATGCTGGGTGGGAGGGCAGGGAGGAGAGGAGGCTCTTCCACCTATCACCCTTCCACACTCAGCACAATGGGAGGGTGCACGGGGAGACCCCGGGGATCAGTTGGCCAGATCTTGCCCCTTCCTCCCAGAGGCCTGGAAGAAGGAGTTGAAGGACCTGGCTTCCCAGGTGGCCATCTTCACCAAGGAGAGTGAGCTGAAGAGCAAGGAGGTGGGTGCAGAACAAAGGAGCTGTCCAAGAAGAAATGAAATGGGCCCACTCCTTTGTAACTAAATCGCTCCCACGTGGTTCCAACCACACCAGCACAGAGCAAACCTTCTCAGGAGGGTGGGAGGCACTGCTGTTGGCAGAGGAGAGGGGTCCTTGAATATAACCCAAGAGACAGGGTCACAGTGAGGGTTCAGAGGACACAATGTCCCTGGTGGAGAAATCCAGGAAGGGTTCATAGTTTAGAAGAGGACAGGGGGAGGCGTTCCTGGTGGAGGCATCTGGCACAGACGTTCTTTCGCAAACTAGAAAATCCAGGACATCGTCTTAGAAAATGGAGGGTTTAAAAGTACAGGAGATAAGTGGGCAGCAGTGAGAGACTTGTCGGAGGGGGGCCGACTTTGGATGTGGGCAAGATCAGCTTGCTTCTCATTTCTGAACTTAGTTTCCTGTTTTACCTGACAAAGGGGTGAAGAATCACTGAAGGATTTCAGAGAGGTTGGGGGTAGCCTGAGTGCTATTTGTTGATAAACCAGTAAAGACAAGTAGGAGGCAGCATGAAGGTAGTTGGAACTGGTCCTAGGACAGGACTGGCCCCTGTTGGCCGAGACTGGTCCTACCCTTGTCTTGGGCAGCAGAGTTCTCGTTCTCGTTCCACAGCTAACTCGCTGTAACACTCAGGGTAACTCAGCTAAGCTCTCTGGGCCTCAGTTTTCTTATCTTTAAAATGGGTGGTCCAGTGGTTAAAAATTCACCTGCCAGTGCAGGGGACACGGGTTCGATCCCTGGTCCAGGAAGATCCCAGTTAAAGAGTTTGCAAGCCACAACTAAAAGATTCCCCAAGCCAGAACTGAGACTGAGCACAGCCAAATAAGTAAATATTAAAAATAAATATAATGGGGAGAAGGATACTACCAGTCTTAACTGGAGTTCCAGGGGCAGGAGGTCCCAGGCCTTGTGCCCACCTGGCTCAGGAAGGTTTTCCAGGGCAAATAAAGGATGCTAAGCTGTGGGGGACAGGTTTGGGGGCAGCTGAGCTAAGAATTAAGGAAGGTAGTGGGGGTCTTGGTACAGGATACTATTTTCAAATCTCTGATGGGCTGAGGGGAGGGATCTGAAGGAGGGCCTACACAGGCAGGACTGAGGACCATGGGGGTGAGGGCAGCCGACCTTCAATAAAATTCCAGGAGGAAGAGCAATGGCTATAAAGGAAGGGCTGCCTCCACTGGTGAGTGGGGGGTCTAAGACAGGTTGAGGCAGTTCTTTCGCAAACTAGAAAATCCAGGACATCGTCTTAGAAAATGGAGGGTTTAAAAGTACAGGAGATAAGTGGGCAGCAGTGAGAGACTTGTCGGAGGGGGGCCGACTTTGGATGTGGGCAAGATCAGCTTGCTTCTCATTTCTGAACTTAGTTTCCTGTTTTACCTGACAAAGGGGTGAAGAATCACTGAAGGATTTCAGAGAGGTTGGGGGTAGCCTGAGTGCTATTTGTTGATAAACCAGTAAAGACAAGTAGGAGGCAGCATGAAGGTAGTTGGAACTGGTCCTAGGACAGGCCTGGCCCCTGTTGGCTGAGACTGGTCCTACCCTTGTCTTGGGCAGCAGAGTTCTCGTTCTCGTTCCACAGCTAACTCGCTGTAACACTCAGGGTAACTCAGCTAAGCTCTCTGGGCCTCAGTTTTCTTATCTTTAAAATGGGTGGTCCAGTGGTTAAAAATTCACCTGCCAGTGCAGGGGACACGGGTTCGATCCCTGGTCCAGGAAGATCCCAGTTAAAGAGTTTGCAAGCCACAACTAAAAGATTCTCCAAGCCAGAACTGAGACCGAGCACAGCCAAATAAATAAATATTAAAAATAAATATAATGGGGAGAAGGATACTACCAGTCTTAACTGGAGTTCCAGGGGCAGGAGGTCCCAGGCCTTGTGCCCACCTGGCTCAGGAAGGTTTTCCAGGGCAAATAAAGGATGCTAAGCTGTGGGGGACAGGTTTGGGGGCAGCTGAGCTAAGAATTAAGGAAGGTAGTGGGGGTCTTGGTACAGGATACTATTTTCAAATCTCTGATGGGCTGAGGGGAGGGATCTGAAGGAGGGCCTACACAGGCAGGACTGAGGACCATGGGGGTGAGGGCAGCCGACCTTCAATAAAATTCCAGGAGGAAGAGCAATGGCTATAAAGGAAGGGCTGCCTCCACTGGTGAGTGGGGGGTCTAAGACAGGTTGAGGCCGGCCTGGTTGACATCCTGGGTCCCTGGCCGCCTCCTCTTCTTTTCACCTTTCCCCTTCTGCTTTTTCTTCTTTCTCCCTCTCTGCCTGGAGTCTTTGGCCACATTTTTCCCTAGCAGAAGAAGGAGCCTCAGCGGGAACAGGGGGCAAAGTACTCAGCAGAGACTGGCAGGCTCATCCCTGCTTCTACCCGGGCCATGGCCCGCCGCCACTCCCACCAGGGCCGAAACCAGCCTGCAAGCAGAGATGGAGGAGACCAGACCTTCCTCCTACAGGATCAGGAGCTGCTGGTGAGGCTCTGGGAAGGCTGGGGGCTGTGGGCCCTATGGAGGCCCTCATCTGAGGGCAGAGAACTTGGTGGAACCTGCTCCCAGGTTCGCGGGGATCCAACTAGGACCTTTGCAAAGTGCTTTCAAGTATTGCTTCTCCCAGGGAGAAGGTCTTGTCCCTGAGACCCTAAGACTCAAAAACCCCAGCTCTGGGAGTCAGGAGCCTGGATTCCCATCCCCAGCTGCCTCTAGATTTCTGTGTGAGCCTTTCCATCTTTAAGTCTTTTCCGTTCTAGGGACCTTAGTTCTATCATTTAGTCAAACTGGAACAACAGATGCATTACCACAAGGTCTGGCCCCGCGGTGGTACTTGATGAGTTAAGGAAGGGAGCCACAGTGGTGGAATGAGAAGCATGGAGGTGGAGGCCCTGCCCGGTGGATCCTCACCACACCCAGTGGGTTGCCCCCACAGCCTGCAAGGCTGGTCCCAGCCAGGTCCCCACACTCTGGAGGGGTCTGGTCTGTGCTGCAGTGGAGCATAAAGACCCCTCCTCTGTGTTCGAGTTTACCATTAGGGCCTGCGAGGCATGCAGGACTCATGCCAGTGGGCAAGGCAGTGCGAGTCTCTGTTCAGAGGTACACGTGTTCTCCAGGAGAGGCCAGACTGTAGCGGCATCTTGACACCTGCCCCGTGACCAGCACTTTACAGCACGTGGCCCCCTGGGAGCCTTACGACAGTGCGGGGAACAGACAGATCAGACAGGGCAGGGATTCCCACCCCACAGATGAGGAGGCTGAGGCCCTGCCGGGTGATGGCCCATGGCCCAGGTCCCCAGAGAAGGAGCGGCCTGGCAGGGGCTCAAACACAGTACTTTCTCCACCATAGGGCGGCCTCACCTTGCCTGGAAGTAGGTTTTCGGGTCCCGTGGGGAGGGGGCACAGGGCAGGTAAGTTGGATGCGGAGAANCTCAGCAGGCGGGTTCCCCGGGGGGAGAGGTGGGGCAGCCTAGCAGGCGGAGGCCTGGAGCGAGGCCTGGCCCAGTTTCCACTCTGCCACAGACATGGCAGACCTGGGGAGACTGGCCGCCAAACACTGAGGGGATCCCACTTTCCTAGGACTCCAGGAGCTCCACCACCCACTGCAGGCCCCAGCTCTACATGGCTGCCGCCGCCACCGCCAGCAGCCCAGCCTAGGGAGCCCCCGTAGCCCTCCTCAGACAGGCCTGGATCTCCTGCCGTGGACCCTTTACTGGAGGACACAGTGGGGGAAGGGCCCTGAAGTAGCAAAGATGTGGGGAGTTGAGTGGGCTGAGGAGGCCCCTGGGAGCGAAGACAGCCCAGCCCTGGGCGGGAAGGGGCTGCCGATTAAGTGGTGCACAGAACTGGCTGGCTACAGCCCTGAAGCCGTCCACAGGGACCAGTCCACCTCTTTGCTAACATCTCCAGACTCTGAGCTCGGGCGCTTCAGGGAGAGGAGGCCCGTGAGGTCCCTGAAATTCCCACACCAAGGACCCAGGCAATCGGGACTCGGTGCGTCTCTGAGGAGCTGACGGCCAGCTCTGACCTCCCCTTCCCAGTGAGGGACCTTGGGGTACAACCACACAGGGCTCAGGGATGAGGGGTCCAAGAAACTGACTCAGAGGCTTCGTTCTGCCGCAGCATCTCTGCCAGGTGTCCTCCTCAGATCCCTCATCTGTCCAGGAAGTGGGTGAAGAACCTTCCTCCAGGGCTGTTGGCAGAGAAAGCTTTCTACAAAGTGTAAAGTCCATGCAGAGGGTAGGCAGGGACCATCGTGGGGGCCAGTCTAGCCAAGGATGTGGGGAGAGAACACTTTATGGGGAGGGGCTGTGCTGCCAGCTAGAACATGCTGTCCTGCCACGCTGACCCAGGCCTGTCCTCCTGCCCACAGATCCTGGAACTGCTTTCGCAAATTCTGCAGACAGACTCCTTGAATGCTATCCAGTTCTGGCTACTCTATGCGCCTGCCAAGGGTGAGGACACCGTCCTAGGCCCAGGTCCTCATCTGAGTGGAGGTTGCTGAGGGCCGTGTCCTCTGGTTCTGCAGGACTCAGATGTCACTGGGCTCCCGTCCCAGTCCCATGGCCTTACACGGGGGCTGCTGCTCCTTTTTGGAGCCACAAACTAACCTTTTCCAGCTAGACAACGTCACTGCCCTCTCCTCCACATTCCTCCGCAGGGTTTCTATGATACTGCTCCTTATGAATGAGCCCTCCTCCATGCTGACCATAGGATTCACCCCCTGGGAGGGAGACAGACAGACCTTAATCCACCACTGTGGGAAACGCACATGCACAGAGATGCAAATACACACACGTAAGAGCACACACATATGTGTACACATGAATGGACACATACATTCATGCTAATATACATGCGTAAGAGCACACACACATGTGTACACATAAATGGATATACACATTCATGCAAATACACACACACAGGAGCACACACATGTGTACACGTGAACAGATGTACACATACACACTGGGATGGTGAGTGGAGAGTGTATCTAAGTAGAGGAGTGAGGAACGAGAGCCAGAGAGCTGATTGGGCCAGAGGGAAGGAGGAAGGGGAGGAAGGCGGGTCCCCAGCAGATTTCCCAGAGGGCCAGGGGGTGTGATGGCAGGTAAACCAAGAATAAGGTACACATGAGCAGGTGTGTAAAGGTGTGGAAGGCTGAGGCATGCTGCACACATAGGGGCCAGAGAGATGCATGGCACTCCCCATGGACTCCTGTGGGGCAGAAGAGCTGGAGGCCCTGCTCCTGCCCACCCCATCCAACAGCAGGCTGGGGGCCGAGGTCTTGCCCCTAAGCATTCTCCCCCTCACCTCGGCTGTGCTTACAGAGAAAGACATGGCACTGGGGCTCCTGCAGACCGCGGTGGCTCAGCTCCTTCCCCAACCCCCAGTGTCCATCCCAGCAGAAAAACTCCTGAACCAGCTCCTGGAAGTTCAAGACTCACTTCAAGAGAGACCCCAGCTACCCTACAGGTGGGTGTCATACCCCTCACCTGCCCCTCTGTTCCCGGAACTGCTCCCTCATATTCAGCCACCTGTCTGCCCAGGTGTGGCCCTAGGAGGCCCGGGAAAGGAGGCCAGAGCCTGGGCTGCCTGTTCCTGCACTAAAGGAAGAGGCCCCGCTCTCCCTGGGACCCCTGGTGCCACCTTATGGCTCAGAGACTTTCTCTGCCAGTCCAGACTCCAGAGGCCTGCTGTGGAGGATATGGCGGTGGGGGGGGGGGGGGGGCAGTGACCTGTGTCACTTGTAGCAAAACAGAGCTGGATAAGCCACACACATCAAGCTCTCCAGGAGCTCCTGGGCCTTGGGAAGACACAAGCAGAGAAGGAAGGGTAACATAAGGCAGGCAGAAGTAACTTTGTGCTGGTACTAAGTCCTCCAGATGGCTGAAAGAAGGATTAGTGACAAGCTGGGCAAGGGGAAGATGAGGGGAGGCTACACACAGCAGGGCAGTGGAGCCTGAGGGTCAGCCATGGGACCAGCGATCCTGAGTGTCCACTGTGTGTACCTGACCTGGCTGGGTGTTTAACACATTTCTAGTCCATGCAGCCACCCATGGAGGCAGTATGGCTTCCCATTTTACAGATAAAAAGACTGAGGCTCAGGACAGTTGAATGACAGCCCAAAGTCACCCGGGTGGGCAGCAGAAAAGCTGGGACTCATATTCAGCCGTGGGCTTCTCAGGTGGCGCTAGTAGTAAAGAACCCACCTGCCAATGCAGGAGACATAAGAAACAAGGGTTCGATCCCTGGGTTGGGAAGATCCCCTGGAGAAGGCAATGGCAACCCACTCCAGTATTGTTGCCTGGAGAATCCCATGGACAGAGGAGCGTGGCAGGCCATAGTCCATGGGGTCACAGAGAGTCAGACAAGACTGACGTGACTTAGCATGCATGCAGACTCAGGCTTATCCAACTTCCCAGCCCAGCAGCACTCAGAGTCACTGAGGAGCTGGTTGGAGAGGCAGATGCCCAGAGATTGCCACATAGTAGAGTGGGGGTGAACATGGAGATGTGTATTTTGAACAAGCAAATGCAAGAGTAGGGCAAGTCAGAAGTGAGGAGGGCTGGGAAAGCCAGGAATTCGAAGCAATAGGGAATGTGAAATTTGGGAGTGGCTGGAGACTGGGCAGCCCGGAAGAAGGAGGCGGGCTGCAGTGCTGGTTTGAATGTGTTGAGGGTACAGGTGCTTGCTCTGGCCCCAAACTTGGTTTTCTTGTTTACCTTGAGACCAATGGTAAGGCAATTTCACGGTGATCTTGGGCAAGCCACCTCCCATCTGTGAGCCTCAGTTTTACTCTTTCAAAAACCCCCTCTCCTAAAGTCATAGAGAAGAAACACTACATCGGGTGCATCAAAAGGCTTGCTGAAGTGCAGAGCCTATACAGGATAGGGGCGTTATCCATGCTTGTCAGTAATTCACTAGGGCTCACTAGGTTTCCCATCTACAGGAAAGCAGCAGGCCAAGGGAGGGCCAGTGCAGTGGCCTTTCTTGCATCTCCCTGGAGAAAGGCCTGGGTTCCTTGTGGCCACAGTGAGCGATGGTGCCACAGTTGTTGGGGGTCCTGCTCAGGGTGGGGCCATCCCTGGACAGATACCTGCTGACTCCTGCCTTTCCCAGGGGCACCTTCCCCACCTCCCCGCCTGCCCTGTCACTCAGCTGGCCATCTGGCTCCAGCCTGACCTTCCTATCTCTCCTTGTGTTGGTTTTAGCCAATCCCCGAAGAAGATGAAGACACCACCTCTATCAAAAAGCGAACAACCAGGTAAGAGTCCCCAGAGCAGGGCACTAGGGGGCTCACTGAAGCCCACCACGGCTAGATCCCTTGGGGGATTCAAGGACCCCTCTAGAGATGGGCCCCTGCCCAAAGAAGCTGCTCGTTTAATCCATCCATCCATCCACTCAGCAGATCCTTAGTTAGTACCCAAGTGCTAGCCTCTGGGGATCACTGGGGGAGAATTCAGAGATGGGTTCCACTGCCTTGGAGCTTACATCCTAGGGAGAGACGTGCAGACCACAAAGACACCTGAGGGAGACGGTGCCATACGGGAAATAACAGGGCAATAGGAGAGTCAGAAGGACTGTGAGTGGGGGGTGGCGGGGGCATGGAGAAGATCCCTTGAGCCAAGAAGCAGAAAGGATCCAACCCTCTGTGGGTCAAGGGAAAGCCTGCGACAAGGCTTCCATTGCCAGGTGTGAGGGTGAAAGAGCAGGCAGGCAGGTCAGGGCGGCTAGACCCTAGTGGGCTGGGAACTGTGGTAAGAAGTGAGACAGGTGGGCAGGGCCAGCCCCCAGGGAAGGTCAGGCGTGTGGTCTCACGCAGGGGGTATGGGGTCCACGGGAGGATTATCGGGGCATGGGGGGACCCCTCAGGTGGCCGTGTGGAGAATGGACTGTGGAGGTCCAGAGGGGATGAGGGGGACAAGGGAGGAAAGGGTTGCCTTAGACCAGGGCAGGAGGGTGAAGGGAGGAAGCTTGCAGGGAGAGAAGACAGGCATTCTTGATGTACAATGCTCTCCCCCGGAAGGTAAGGGGTCCTGTGTGCCAGAGCAGTGTCTGACACAGAGTAGGTACTGAGCAGACATCTGTGACCTGGATGTAGTAGTGACACCCAGATGTAGAAGAGGGTGGAGGTGAGACTGGGGGAAGGCAGTCAGTCCCTCCCAGGTGACCGGGGAGCCTGAGCAGAAGCCTGGCCTGACCTGGGCACTGGGGCCTGGAGCGGGGAGCAGGAGGTCTCCCCAGATCTCCTGGGCAGCTCCCTCACACTCTCCTGCCTGCTGTGTCCCCTCTCCCCATCCCAGAGAACATTGGCAAAGCTCAAGTTCTTCGCGTGCACTCCAGCCAGAACCCAGAAGAGAAGGCAGCAAAGGCAGAGAGCTGAGGAGTTTGCGCCTCCCTCAAGAAAAACCCCTGAGTTCGAAGACTCCGTCCCTAAGTCCTCAACAGCAGTACTGGTTTTCCTATCACGTGGAGCCCATTAAACTACTGTCTTCCCCTTAAGAGGACAGTTCCACTCTCCCATCAGCAGGAGGTCTGTGCTTATGTAGTTTGCTCCGGGAAGGGGGATGAGCTGAACCAAACCATCCCGATTCCCTTGGAGAAAGCCTCCCTGTGTGGGGCTTCCCTGCTTCTGTTTGCTTCCACAGAATCAAAGGTCAAGGGGTGGACAGGGCTGTGCTCACCCCTGGGTCAGGACTCACAGGGTTCTGGGCAGATTAGCACAGAGGTGGGGAACTCACAGGCCACTTTAGAAGACTCATCCATAGCAACGACTGAATTCCTACCAGACATTGGGGCAGGACTAAAGTACTAGCTACTGATGAACACTCTGTATTGTTGTACGTACTAAATTTATATGTGGTACTGTATCTGATGCTCACCCAAAACCCTAGGAGGTAGAGAATCACTCTCATTTTCTAGATGAATAACCTGAGTGTCAGAAAGGTGAATCAGCTTGCCCAAGGCCACATAATAAAGTGAGGATCCAAACACAACACATCTGCTTCTAGAATCGTGCTTCTATCTGCTGGACTCTGCTGCCTATGAATAGTAACCTGCACCAAAAGTTGGACTTTTCAGGACAAGCATAGAGTTAGCACCATGTGGTTGACAAAATCAAAAAGAAAAGGGATATTACATAAATATGACCCAGATGCAGCTGGGGTATCTCTGTCCTTTAAGATATAGAGAAGATGGCCCTGACTCTCTGGGAAGCCAATGTCTTCCTTGAGATTTCTGCAGACTTCTTGGTTGTGGCTGGGGGTATTGGCATTGAGTATTTACAATGTCATGGTCACTATGGCTCTGAGCTCCTGCTTCTACTGACTTGGTTCCGTCCACAGGTTGTGGCTCCATTCTACACTTCCAGCACCGCTGCCATTCTCCCGATGTCAATTCAGGGAACCCCTTTCACACAAAACTTTTGCTCAGCAGGCTTCAATCAAGAACAGGGACTAGGTGGGGATTTGCTGTGAATCCAGCAAAAAGCTTCATGGTCAGTATAAAATTGTCCTGTTTTTAAAAGGTCCTTTAAAGGAAAGGTCCTTTAAAAGGAAACTAGGGATGTTTCCCTGGTGGTAGCATCATCTATAACAACTATGCCCTGGGACTTCCCTGGCAGTCCAGTGGTTAGAACTCCATGGTTCCACTGCAGAGGGCACAGGTTCAATCCCTGGTCAGGGAACTAAGATCCCAAATGCCAAGTGGCACAGCCAAAAACAAAACATACAGACAAAACCAAAAACTATGCCATCTCGCTGACTTCCTCCTGCTCTGTCCTCAACCCTGCCACCAGTTTGCCCCCAGAAAGCCCACAAAAATTTTCCAGTTTTTTTCATATAAAATATACATAACATAAAATGAACCATTTAAACCATTTTGAAGTGTACAGTTGAGTGTCTTTAGTTATATTCACACCACATGCAACTATCACCATCAGCCATCGCCAGAACTCTTTACATCTTGCAAAGCTGAAATTCTGAAACCCATTAATAACTCCCCACTTCCCCCTTTTTCCCAAGACCTGGCACTCTCCTTTCTGTCTCTGAGTCTGACTACTCTAGATACACTGTATTAGTATTAGTAGAATCATACATCTGCCCCTGCAGAGTATCATAATTTTCTTATTCTCTGGAGGGTACCTCCCCTTTTAAGTTTCTTAGGGGACTTCCCAGGTGGTCCAGTGGCTAAGATTTCTCACTCCCAATGTGGGGGTCCTGGGTCCAATCCCTGGTCAGGGAACTAGATCCCGCATGCTGCAACTAAGAGTTCACATGCCACAAGGGAGATCAAAGACCCCTCATGCCACAACTAAGACCTAGTGCAGCCAAATTAAAAAATATATATAATTGAAAATACATATGTAATTTTTAAACACACAACTATATAATGGAGACACTTGCTATTTTAAAATATCTCAAGGTATAGCCTCTAAAGAAAAAATTAAGTTTCTTAGCCCATCCTTCGAATCTATCTATTTTTGCTTTCTCCATCTTGTGTTTGCGTTCGCAACTCCCTGCAGAATGCTTGTGTCACTGCCTGGCTTTGCACCCACTGTTACTGTATTTAAAGAGAAGACATTCTGGGTCTGGCTTCTTACCTGTGTATTTTGAAGGTAGACTGTGAACAGATGAGATCTTTCTCGGCAGCTCTGCAATCTGTTAGGAGAAAGATAAGGGAATCGAACTGAACCAAGTGCACTTTGTGGAAATAAACACATGACATGCAAATGGGAAACTGCTCTGTTGCAAAAACACAGATGCCTAACCTCTGGTTGCCTGGGATGATCTGATCTCATTCAGGGCTCACAGTGACCCGTAGGTAGATTTCACAGGTAGAAAAATCCAAGGCTCAGAGCAACGGTAACATCAAAATTCACACAGCCAATAAGTAGTGGATTCAAACCCAGGGCTGTGGGCTCCTCAATCAGTGCCCCTTACTTCCTGCCAGCTGCCACCTCCCAGGCTCACCCCAAGGCCCACTCGTCTCCAAAGAGAGAAGTGGACCCATCCCTCACTTCCAGTCACTTCACCCCCTCTTCCTCCTGGTCCCTCTTCCTCCATCTCTGGAATATGGAGCTCAGTAGGGTTTGCTGACTTCCTGGCCCTCTTTAAAGTCCTCCAACAGGCTTGCCTACTTTCTCCATGTTTTAAGGGAGTCGCTGCTGACTGCCCAAGGAGCAGCCAGCTGGGGGAATTGGAAAGTTCCAGACATCTCACAAAGCACAGTCGTCACTGGCCTTCCTAGAAATGCAAGTGGCATCAGGCCTGCCTGCATTGTCACTTGCACAGAGCGCCCTCTTGACCTCAGGTCCTGGGCAGGGTGGAGGCCAGGCTGGTCACTGGGCTGTGGTGTGTAAGCGTGACTTGTCTTTGCAGAGCTTCTGTGCTCTGCTTAGCAGTGCTCTCTGTCTGAGCCCCTGTTTGGCCACCAAGGGGACTTCTGCTGGGTGTCAGGACCCCATGGCCACTTCTGAGTCTCTTCTAAATTTTCCTTGGCTCACGCCGCCCTGGAATTTCTCCTCTCCCTACCCTCTGCAGCTCTGATTGAAGCAAGAAGACAGATTTTCTCTTCCAATCTTCTCTGCTATTAGGTCCTCCTTGGGATCCAGTCTCCTTACCCACTGTGGAAGCCCCTGTTGGGGTGCCCAGATGTCCCCTGCCCTCCTTTCAGGAGGGCCTGAAACTTAGCTCCATCCAACCAGAGTATCGCATCCCTGGGCACAGGGACTGGTTCAAGGATTGGATAAGCATATGACCCAAACTGGAATAAACACTGTCTGCTCTTGGGATTTTTTGTTGAGTGGGAAGGAATGTTGGCTTTTGAGATGACACCATCGTTGGTCATCATTGTTCCAAGAGACAAAGCCATGGATTCAGTCACACTTGATGATTCTGATCCTCCCCCATTGTTCCCCATTACTTGAGAATAAAATTATTTCTTAATAGAATTGATTGTTATGTACTTTTAATATAAACTTACCATTTTAACCATTTTTAAGATACAGTTCAGTAATATCACTCATGCTCAGTGACTCAGCATCCGACTCTTTGCAACCCTATAGACTGCAGCCCATCGGGCTTCTCTGTCCATGGGATTTTCCAGGCAAGAGTACTGAAGCGAGCTCCCATTTCCTCCTCCAGGGATCAAACTTGCATCTCCTGAGTCTCCTGCATTGGCAGGTTTCTTTACCACTGAGCCATCTAGGAAGTGATATTAAAGCATATTGTTGGGTCACCATCATCACCAACCATCTGCAGAACCCTTTTCACCTTGCAAAACTGAAACTCTATACCCATTAAACCATAAGTCCCCAGTCCCTCCTACCCAAGCCCCTGGCAACCTCCCTTCTACTTTTGGTCTCTATGTATTTGACTGTTCTAAGTACCTCATATAAGTAGAATCTTGCAGTATTTGCCATCTTGTGACTAGCTTACTTCAATTACCATAGTATCCTCAAGATTCATCCATGTTGTAGCAAGTCCCAGAACGTCCTTCCTCTTTTAGGTTGAATAATATTTCATTGTATGTAATACTCCATTGTGTTTATCGATCCATCCACTGATGAACATTTGGGTCCTTTTGCCTTTTGGCTGTTGTGGATAATGCTGCTAAGAACATGAGTGCACAGTGGGTACAGCGTCCCTGAGAGGTGTGTCGGCTTCAGCGGCACAGCCAAGACTCAGGTCCCAGGTGTGATCCAGGCTCTTATTCACAAAGACCATCACAATCACTTACTGATTCATTCATACATACATTCATTCAAAACACACTGTTTAGTTTCTCCCCTATGCCAGGTACTTCCTGTGACCATCTGTTCTCAAGGGCTTCTCTGCTCTCCCCCCCTGACCAGGTGGATACACTGTATTCAGACAAAGCTGGCAGCCCCCAGACTCTGGATCTGGCCAGCCTCCGTGAGATGCAGCTCGAGTCTGAGACAGCACGGGGCAAGGGTCAGGAGTGGTCAGCAACACCACAAGGCCTCCTGCCTGCCTGCCGCCCAGGAGATGCTCTGCCACCCTTGGCAGAGATGGGAGCCACAGAAGAAGGTAACCTCACACACAAGACTCTGCCCTCTCACGAGAGTCCTCAGACATAGATGGAGGAGCTTGGGCCAGGCGATTTTGAAGTCCTCTGAGAGCTCCTATTCTCCAAAGTTCTAGGCTCTCCTGAGCTAAAAGTTCTAGCCTGCTCCACCTCTCTGGGAAGGTTGGTATCTTTTTCCTAAGATTCTACAAGTGCCAGACTTTTATATTTTGGCAACTGATTTAAAAATATTTTTATGCCTTAATACTTTTGCATATCAGGGGGGAAAAGGCCTGGCCCTAACAAAAGGACATCATTAGCCTCCACTCAAGTTACAAGAGTGTACTGCCTCTGGTAATAAGAGGCAGAGTGCTATTTTCACGTGTTGTTTTCATTTTAAAAATAACCCACGCTCATTGCAAATATTTGGAAAACAGAGAAAACTGGGAAAAGTAAAAATAAAGTCAAAACACTAAAGAAAACTACTAGTATATTTTTAATGTATTTTTTCTTTCTCCAAGTCATAATGGTAAATAAAAGAGCATCGTGCATTAAAACATGCTTTAAAATCTTACACTCCAGTGATTTCCAGAATCCCAATACCAAGTATTTCTGGGATCCTATGATTCAAACACCCTAAGATTTCACAGTTTTAAGATTTCCTGGCTTCAGGGAGACCAGAGTCCTCTTTTCATGCCCTTGTGAGCTTCTACTTGGGCAGAAGGGGTAGAGAAAGGGTCATCCCATCCTCACAGCTCCCAAGGACTTGGTCAGGTCGTCTAAGCATCTCATTCATGCCCACACCACCCCTCTGAGGGCCCCCCGCCTCCTCTGCACCCTTCCCCGCAACTCATTGAGGGTGGGCTCTGGTGCTTGCCTCTCATAAAGTGCTTGGGGGAGCTGGCTGCTCTGGCGCCTCAGCCACCATGGCCTTGGCAGAGCCTGACCCGTAAAGTGCTGGCCCAGGAGGACCACACTCTTTCCTTCACTCACCCATGGGGGCTAGAGACACCTCCAGGTGGGTACTGCCCACCAGAACCAAAGGTCTAGATTAGGCTGGCGGGGCAGGGGCCCTGGGCAGACCGAGAGGACTCACCCAGGAGCTCAGGCTTTGGGCTTTCCCGAGGTAGGGTCAGAGGGCTGGTGGTGGAGGAAGGGGCTCTGCAGGCTGCGACCCACCTCCCCATGAAAGAATGTCATCCTCTGCTAACAGGGTGGCAGCGCTGGGGCTGGGGGCTGTGGGTGCCTGATGGGTGCCTTCTCTCTGCCGTTCTCCATCCAGGCAACACCCAGAGCTTGTCTCTTTATCTGTGGCCAGCTCAGTCAGGCACCTCCAGGCAGAGCGTGCAGGAAGCCCTGGCAGCGACTGGGCAGCTCTCCCCTACCGCCACCACCAGCCAGGCACGAGAGGCCCAGCCGCCTTCCCACCCCTGGTGTTATCTCTCCTGTCCCTGCCACCCCAGCCTCTTCCTCACTCTGGGTTAGGAGCCACCCCGCTCTGCCATAGCCCACTGGGTGACCCCGAGAATGTACATACTTCCTCCCTGGGCCCATCACCCCATCTGCAAAGCTGAGGGTCCAGACAATTTTCAGGCTCCCTCCAAGTACACAAATGCTTGCCCTGGCTCCATGGGACAGGAGTGGGGTCTGCTTGCAGGGAGGCCCTACTCCAGCTATCCCAGCACAGATACTTGCCTCGTCAACAAAGCTGCTAAAGCAGAGGTGACTTCTCTACTGCAACTCAGATGTCAGTGTGTGCTTCCCGCTCCTTGAGCTCCTCACTGCCTAGAACCTCTGCGCAGTTTGGTGCACTCCTCAGAATTTCGGTGACTTCCTGGAGTGGGGGGGGGGGGGGGGGGCGGCGGGCCGCTTGCTCAGCACCTCATTCTCTGCCCTGCCCCCCTCCTACTTTCCAGGGCTATGCTCACTATTTTATCTTCAACTGTGCATCGTTTCATTTTTCTCAATTTTTACCAAAATAAACACAAATCCTGACTCCTGCAAAGTCCTTAATGTGGGGGGGGGGGGGGGGCTGGGCATTCCCCAAGGACTGAGGGGACAATGCCAAAAAATAAACTATTAGACCCATTAAGCAAACTGTATCCCCCAAAGTTCCCATCCAGCCATTCCTCCCTGTCCCCACTGCCATCTCGGTCTTGTGGTACGCCCACCCCTTCTCTACAGCCGTTTTTTCTCCCCATGGTTACAAAGGGCTCCTTCTCCAGCCTCACTTTCCCCAGTGCCCCCAGCAGCACAGACCTACTTACTCTGTGATATAAATTCTGCTGCTCCCTTAGAAGGCAAAAGTGGTTGCAGTCATTTGCTCTCAGTGACATTGCTCTCGTCTTTTGGTCAGTGGTGATCACTTCATTAAAGCCTCTCAGGATTCCTTAGTGAGCTCCCCTAGTTANGCAAAAGTGGTTGCAGTCATTTGCTCTCAGTGACATTGCTCTCGTCTTTTGGTCAGTGGTGATCACTTCATTAAAGCCTCTCAGGATTCCTTAGTGAGCTCCCCTAGTTACATTTAGAACAGCCTGAGGTTTTCAAACATTTGAATTCCAAAGAGTTTTTTCTTTCCTGCAGCACCACGCTGAGATAAAGCACAATCCTGCAATTCGGGCCTCGGGGAAGAGTGAGATTTATTAACCTGCAACCTGATGGAAGCCTCATGTCAGCCTGGCAGCAACCAGCATGCGTGGGAAGGTCGAGGGGCCACAGGAGGAATACTCTACCCCAGGACAGTGAGTTGAGACCAGTGCACCCTGAAGCCCCAGCCCTCCCAAACTTGGGTGGGAGGCTGCCTCCAGCACCCCTCTTCTCCCTGCCCCAGCTCCAGCACGCCCCCTCCCCACCCCAGCAGAGGCTGCCACGTGGCTCCTCTGTTCAGGAGCCTGCAGAACTGGAGGGACCACCTCTCCTCACTGCTTACCCAGCAGATGCCCCTCAGCTGTCTCTGCCTGACCCAGGGCACTTGGCCACGTCCCTTCACTCACTGGCCTCCTGGGGGTAGAGTACAGATGCTCCGGGACAGAATCCCCACCTGGGCTCACATTCCAGCTCTGGATGCCGTCCTCAGGCAGGTCTCTTGACTGAGTGCATCTGTGTCCGCATCTGTAAAGCAGAGGCAAACAAAGAATGTGGTTACTTAGAGAAAGCACCTTACAAACTGGCCCTCTGCCAGTGTCAGACCTGAGCACGGCAGCAGCGAAGGATATCATCCCAGCTCCTGGTTCAGGTCTCCTGCCCAGTATTGAGTCCCCTGGGACTCTGGGACTCTCTATTCCCCTGCCCATGGCTTCTAGGTGAGAAGTCCTTGAACTGTCCCAGTTCCCATTGTCTAAAGATTTCTGGGGCTCCTGAAGACATAGAGACTTGGGGGACTTGCTGCCTCTGACCCCAGCTCTGCCCCTCATATCAACCCAGATGCAGAATATGGCTCCTGCACAAATCACCAGGAGGGATCCAGTCATAAATGAGCATTGGGGATTTCTGGAGATTTTGCAGTTTTGTGGGTCCTAGGGAAGAGCTCTGCTGTTAGTCCCTGGTATTCTACCACTAGGCGCCCCCACCCCGCCTCATCTCTCTTCTCGCATTGCCAGAAGCCCCCAGATAATACCCTTGCTCACAAACCATCATTCCCAACCTTCGGCAGGGTTCACACTAGGGGACCCTTGTCTTGAATCAGCATCCTCCCAATGGATGTTACCAAGGGCTCTCCCTGAAAGGCACCCCCCTCCACCTAACTGCCCAGAAATAGACGAACCACTCCCCCAGTTCCCTCTGCCCAGGAGAGGACCCCAACCAGCATCCCTGTGCGGCTAAAAGCCTCTCTCACCCGTGCCCTCCTTCTACCTTCTCAGTCCGCAGTGTGACCCGGCCCGTGCACACCCCCACCCCTTCTCAGGCTGCCTCTGCTCAGAGTCACACAGGAAGTTCCCGGATGTCAGCAGCCAGCGGCAGGACACCCTGCTGGAGACAGAAGTTCCTGTGCCCCCGGCCATCCCCAGCCCCCGTGAAACTGCTGTATGGGACCCTCACCACCACTCTCCCCTCAGGAGGCTGGGGGAGAGGGGAGTGAGGCTGGAAACAGCAGCTAACACTCTCGTAGCACTTACCATGTGCATACACTGTCCTAAGGGCTTTGCATGGACCACAACTATGTATGCAAGGCAGGCAAAAATAAGCCATTTAATCCTCACTCTAACCCTGTGAAATATGTATTATTATCCCCGTTTTATAGATGAAGAAACTGAGGCTCAGAAAGGTTAAATAACTCGTGAAACGTTATACAATGAGTGCCAGAGTCGAAACTAGAACCCAGGGACTTTTCCGGTGGTCCAGTGGTTAAGATTATGCTTCCAATGCAGGAGGTGTGGGTTTCATTCTTGGTCTGGAAGCTAAGATCCCACACGACTCACAGCCAAAAAATCAAAACATAAACAACAGAACAATATTGTAACAAATTCAACAAAGACTTTAAAAATGGCCCACATTAAAAAAAAAAATTTTTTTAAGAGGTAATCACAGTGACGTTTCTGTTTAAAAACAAAAAAAAAGAACTAGAACCTAGTAATCTGGTCTCTGCCCTTTTCCACAGGAGACTCCTGAGGCCACACCCCCATCACCTCCCCAGGCCTACGCTCCTCCTCCTGCACAGATAGCACTTAGACTTTTGATGGGACGAAGGGTGGGAAATCACCAGCCCAAGAGACTTGAGGTCTGTCAGGAACATACTGCGTGACTGTAGGCAAAACTTGACTCTTGGCCCGGGCCCTGCCACCACTGGCATGGTTTGGGAACAGCCATTTGCTCTTTCTGGGCCTCAGTTTACCCATTTGCACAGGTGGATCAGACATCTGTACACTGTCTCCTGCTGCTAATCCTATATGAATGGAAGGCCTAAGCTTCCTCTCACTGATCCAGCCAGTGACAGTCTTCTCCAAGGAGACATAACCTCCAGCTGCAAGACGCAGTGGGCTCCCCACCCCCACCCCTGGCTTCCTGCTACCTCTTGGTTTCTAGGGCCTGGCTCCCACGGAGAATTTCAGGAGCCCTATGGGGCCCTGCAGGGAGGCAAAGAACCCACCACCTCTGTGCATCCCTGTTTACTTATCCTGCAAATGCGGCATTTATTAAAAGCAAGTCCCACTGTCATGGGCTTATGGTCTAGGGGGAGGACAGGCCTTATTCAGTCACCATGGAGATCAACCCATACGTGTACCATGTTTTCTGAAGCAGAGGTGGAGAAACATCCCCTGAGGAAGACCACCAGGGCCTCAGCAGCCAGGAGAAGGACTCTGGTCTCCTCCCTAAGGGCGATGAGAGTCAGCAAATGGCTTTAGGCAGGGCCTCTGTGAGGCAGAACTGAACCAGGCACCAGTCCAACTCCCGGCTCCCTGCAGGTCTCTTTTATGTTACTATCCATCACCAGAATTTTAGTATCAACCATAATCCCTCACTTGCTAAACACTTCCATAGACACTGTCTCCTTTGCTCTAAACCAACCTGTGAGTCATTTCATATTCACTTTTTGCAAATAAGGGAGCTGAGGCTGGAAGGGGGGTGGTGACTGGGCAGCCTGCACATGAAGCCAAGTGCTGGTGTGGAGCCTGAGCTTGTCCTGGGCCTCTGAGCTTAGGCGGGTACCCTCTTGCCTCCATTTCTCTGGGATGAGGTGCTGCCAGCCCTGGGTAGTCACCTGCCTCCAGGGAGTCCTATCAGCAGGAACAGGTCCCTTGCCTAGGAGCCAAGGGCTTGGCCTGGGTACCTCTGGCTGTCCTTACAAATTACTTGCAGCATCATGCAGCCAGGAGTCCCAGAGGCCTCTATTGAGGCCTGTTGGGAGGCAGGGGGTGAAGAGAGAAGGACACAAATAAGAAAAGAATCGTTCTCTCCTCCAGCAGCCTACCTCCTAGGTAAGCAGAGACACAGCACTCAGTACCTCCAAGAGTGATGAGCAAATCTCATAGAAAGAAGTATGCCCATTTTACAGATGACAGTCTAGGGCTCAGAAAGGTAAAATAACTCTTCCAATTCCACCCAGGTGGTAAATGGTGATGCTGGGAATCCAATGGGAGAGGGGAGCAGATGTTTTCTCCAGGAAAACAGTACAGTGTATTTGCAGAGATCTTGGGTGAGACATATCCCATTACCTTCATTATGTGATTTAATATTTTCTACTGATACATAATTTGCATATAGGAGAATTCACTTTAAAATGAGTGTGACCACCACAATCAAGGTACCTCTGCATGTCTAGTCCTCCACAAAGTCCTCCCATGCCCACTCACAGTCAATCCTCCCTCCCACTCCCAGCGCTGGCAACCAGTGATCTGTTTTATCTTTTCCAAAATCTCCTATGAAGGGACTCACTTGGTGTGTAGTCTTTGGGGCCTGTCTTCTTCTCTCAGCAGAACGCTCTGCAGATCTTTGCATGTTGATGTGTGCACGTACATATGAGTGGTTCACACCTTTTTGTTCATGAGTAGTATTCCATTCTATGGATACGTCACAGGTTATTTATCCATCCACTATTTGGTAAATATTTGGGTTGTTTCTAGTCGAGGTCTATTTTGAATAGAGTTGCTAAGGAACATTTGCATACAGGTTGCTTTGTGGACAAATGTTTTCATTTCCCTCATGTGAATACATAAGGCAGCTATCACTGAGTTGTAGGTAAATGTATGTTCAACTTTATAAGAAGCAGATCGAATGTTCTAAATGGATGTACCACTTTGCATTCCTACCTAAAAGAATGAGAGTTCCAGATGCCCAACATACTCCCAACACTTGATGTGGCCAATCTTATTAATTTTAGCTGTTCTGTGCTGTGCTTAGTCGCTCAGTTGTGTCCGACTCTTTGCGACCCCATGGCCATAGCCTGCCAGGTTCCTTTGTCCATGGGGATTCTCCAGGCAAGAATACTGGAGTGGGTAGCCATGCCCTCCTCCAGGGATCTTCCCAACCCAAGGATCGAACCCAGGTCTCCCACACTGCAGGCAGATTCTTTACCATCTGAACCACCAGGGAAGCATTTAGCGTTCTAATGGCTATGAAATAAAACCTCTTTGCCATTTAAATTACCCTTTCCCTAACAACCAGTGATGTTGCATATCTTTTCCTGTACCTATTTGTCATTGTACATTTTCAGTAAAGTGTCCAAATCTTTTGCCCATTCTGGGGGGGCATTGTTTAAGAACTCTTTATACATTCTGGATACAAGTCTAGGATCAGATATATTATGTGAAAGTATCTTCTCCCAGCTTGTGTTGTTGGTTGGTTTTCTCCCATTGTTGTTTTTGGGTTTTTTTGTTTGTTTGCTTTTTGTTTCTTGTTTATTTATTTATTTATTTTGCCTTTTCATTTTCTTACCACTGTCTTTTGAAAAGTAGAAGTTTTTAGTTTCGATCAAGTCCAATTTGTCAACATTTTCTTTTATGGTTTGTGCCCATTTAGTGCCATCTTTGTCTAACCCAAGGTTACAAAGATTTTTTTACAAACATTTTTCCTCTGTAAGTTTTTGGTTTTAGCTCTTACCTTTAAGTTGATTACCCATTTTGACTGAGTCAATTTTCACATATGATATGAGGTGAAAGTTGAGGTTTCTTTCTTTCTAGGCATAGCTTCCATTTTTCTAACATCATTTATTGAAAAGACTATCATATCCTGACTGAATTACTTTGGCATCTTGTTAAGAACTCATGGTTGTGTGAGTCTATTTCTGGATTTTCTATTCTGTTCCATTGTTTTGTGTATCTATTACACCAATGCCAAACCATCTTAGTTAATGTAGCTTCACAGTCAGTCTAGAAATCAGGTAGTATAAATTCTCCCACTTTGTTCTTTTTCAGAATTGTTTTGAATATCCTAAGTCCTCTTTATTTCCATAAAAATTTTATGATCAGTGTGCAATTTCCAAAGAACACCCAGCCAGCTGGAATTCTGAATGGAACAGCATTACCTTTACAAGTCATTTTGAGAACTTGACCATACTGAGACTTTCTTTAGCTATTCTTACACGTCTCTGAGCAAGACTTCCTAGTTTTCCGTGTACAGGTAGCCTGCGTCCTGGTGCACTGTGAATTGGAATTGCTTTCTTAATCTGCACTCTCAGACTTAGTCAGAGCCCCAGAGGGTCCACTCAAGGCTCACCTGTCCTGCCCCAGATCGTCCTCGTGTGCATCCAGCTGAGGACCATGGACAAGATTGGATGAGTAGGTGCAGGCTCCCCCTGGGCACAGAGCTCCCAATGATTCCAAACTGTCACCATAACCTTTAAAAGTGGGTTAAAATTTCAGTTGCATTTTCTTACCTGCTTCTCTGTTGACCACTTCCTTCCATGCTCTGCCAGAGGCAGATGAGAATGTGGAGCCTCTCTTTCTTTCAGTCACCCTCTGAAATTTAACCCACCTGCTTACCTTGAAACCCCAGCCGCATAACAGGCTAAAAGAGGCATGACACTGCAGCTTACTGGCTTCTTATTGTAAGGGTAGAACTGATGTCCTCCTGTAGTTTTCTACATCCTAAGCAGGGTATGGGTAACTTTTGGTCAGGGCCGTGGCCTGGGTTTCCAAGAGCAACAGGACCCACAGGGATGAAAGGGCTACAGGGACACTGGGAAAGTGGCAGGATTCCACAGGTGGAGGCTGGGAACTTCGAGGAGCCCAAGCCCTGACTCTGGTCTACTCCTGTGGCACAGCAACAGCTCATCCATCCTCCACGCTGACTGGATCCCTCAAGCCCGTTCCAGGAATAGCCCAGTGACCAACGTCACCCCCAGGAGACCCCTCATCCACCATCTCTTGCATTTTCTGGTCACGTTGTTTTCACAGGTGGGCAAGGCAAATGCTTTCACTGACACTTTTTCAGATGAGCAGAAGGGCTGAGGGCCCCACAGAACCTTAGAGCTCACAGGGTCCCTAGAGCTGTGTCGTCCACACACAGGACTCTGTGGGGCCCTCGAGGTCAGAGGAGGGTCCTTGGGGCTGGTTTCTTGGTCCCTCTTCCTCCACTTGGGCCACTGCCGTCCTGCTTTGAGATGCTGAGCCCGAACAAAGGTTCCCAATGGTGTGAAAGTTTAAATTCACTGACCCAGTCTAACATCACTGTTTCTTGT